GTTTGTTTTGAGAGTTGTTCAGAACAGAAATATACACTAAAATGTAACAAACATTGCATGCAGATTTTAGCAACCTAATCTTGTTTCCTCTGGCACTGGTTAGCATGTTGCAGGTACAGCTCCAGTTCAAGATAACCTGAGGGAAGGTACGTATACATTTTAAAAAATCTAGCTACAACAAATAACCATGGAAGATAACATTTAAATCGGGTTGTTCATAACCATGTTAGTATCTTTGCAAGGAGTGCAAAGTCTTACTATCAGTTATCTGCAGAATGCTGCAGAGTTTCTGTTCATGGGTCCACGGGTAGAGAGTATTTCAAATAAAATAATTTCAAGTATAAAATAACGGTATTTCTTTTCTGAAGTCATATACAGGTCACACCACATTCTAGCTGCTAGTATTTTGCCTTGTTAATTACTTTTCATCATAAATGCTGGTATAAAAATAGCTTCCTGAAAAAGGTACAAAAGTACTTGAAGTTTAGTCTACAAGCTTCTCGGTTTTGTTTTACAAACTTACAAAGAGGTTTTGTACCTCGAGAGCATACAAATGGCAGCAGCACTCAGGCTCTTACAAAGGTTTGGGGCATCTTTTTCAAATGTTGATTTGAAATACAAACAGTCCCAGGAGGGACTGGGAACGTCCCAGGAAGAATGGGAATATCTCCTCCTTATCAGATATGTTTAGTAAAGAAAAGGAAACATTTGGCCTTACTACAAAGGAAATGTGAATGAACTCCTGCGATTTACTGAAGTTGTCAATGAGGAAACTCTTTCATGCTGCCAAGGTAAGTCAAGGTGAAATTCGTAGTAGGCCAGTAAATGATCAAAGGTCCACTGAATTACACTGGCAGTTCATGAAGAAAAAAAAATACAGAATTCTTTTAAAATGCCACTCACATTTATGCTACCACGGTTTCCCTCCTTCTCTCAATTTTACTTCTGCCTTTTGTGAACGCAACTGTTCTGTAAGTTTGATATTAAACCCAGAATGGAAAACAGAGTAGATAAAATTTTCAGAACCATGTAACTCTGGAAGTCAGTAGTTTAGGTTTATAAGCCATTGGTCTTAAAATGGATCGCCAGCGTAATCAGAATTAAATGGGTTGCACTGTGTATTAATTCAGGAACAAATGTAATGGGGACATTCCAATCAGAATACAGCAGTAATAAAAGCTGTAAAGGCTTTATATAAAAGTCTGCACATGAGATTCAGTAATTATCAGAATATTATACAAAATTACTTTTAAAAAAAGACAAGTTTTACCAGAGAACAAAACTAAAAACGTGCATGCAGTAACAAACAGGAAACTTAAGAGCTACCATCTTTATTCTGATTGAGATTGATCACAGTTACTTTAGCACCATGAAAAACATTAGACATTCATTTCTTACCCTTCTAACAAAGCAGAACTTCAAAGAATGGAGTTAAGGCTACCAAAACATACATCCTTTAACATCAAAAACATACAAAATATGATGTCTATAAAGATACTTAAACATGTCAGTGTTATCAATATTAGCACACATTTTAGTATAAAATCACTGTAATCCTAGCATATGCAGTTCTGAAACATTAAAAAATGTTGACGCAGTATCTGTAAGATTAAAAGGCATACTAAAAGCATGCAAAAGCTTACATGCCTAGAAACTCACTGGCTGTCCGGAACTGTAATGGTGCTGTGCTTGTTGGCAGTGAGACACCCAAATGAAAATAATTACCTCTTCCCCAGCTGTCTCCCACATTATTCCAGTGCTACAGCTCCTGTAGTTAAATGCAGAATGTTTGTGTATGCCCTGGTCAAAATACATTGTATTCATATATACATACACACACTCTGTTTTAACATCAGAGGGTCAGTTCTGACAGAAGAGTTAAGATGCCTACAAGTCAGGTTCCCTAACACTTCCAGCTCCCTGGAGGGGCATCCCAGCCCCAAACAAGGCAGCACCTCTGCCCCCTGTGCAGGGAGGACGGCCAACCCCCTCCAGGGGGGCTCCCACGCAGCACAGGGAGAACGTGGCTGCTTAAGCTAACAGGAATAGTAGCACTGATTCCCATCCTTAGATGGGAATACTTCCTTTGGGGCTGCAAGGAAGCGTGGCCTGTCCCATTGGCATGTACTACCTGATGCAAATAGGCATTCTTGCTGTAAAGTGGTAGCAACTGTGTTTTTTACTAAATGAATGCTTCCATCACACCCTTATGATGCGAGAACTGCCTTCAGCACTCTTGTGAGTTGATTGAACCTCGCATCTCCCACTTCATAAAAACTTGCCTAGTCTATCAGGCTATGGCTATTCAAAGGTTTAATGGAAGGAAGATTGAGAATGGAAGGCTGAAAAGTGTTCTCCATACCCACTACGGTGTGCATCAGCTTGGACAGTCCAGTGTCTCCAAAGAGAAGGGGGGAATGTATATGCCAAGACATGGTGCATGAAGAGCCCAAGAAGAAAAGTGTCAGTTGTCTACATCATATGATACTGAACATACCCTGAAGGATGGCCACAGAATGGCTATGTCATCTTTGACTTGAGTAAGCCACTTAGGAAGGTCCGCAAGTGGTCACCAAAAGTAAACTTAAAAAAATTCTGTTAATGCTGAACAGACAAAGATCTGGATGAAAGCAATTCTAATGAAGAGTATGTTAATTTGAAGTCTTGGTTTGAGCCTTGTACAAGTCTTCTCACATGTAGCCAGCATAAATCCAACAATACTTTTTTTAATTATACGTTGTGTCTTTTTGCATAGCTTGGATGTAAATAAGAACCAGAAGGGTTTTCATTATTTCAGACTCTTTGCTGAACAGGATATATTAAGATTTGCAGGGATTTCATACCTACTGAAAAGACACAAGTGTCAGCCATACATAAAACCAACCCCTTGCTCAAAATTAGTCTTTGTTTCAAAATATGGTGTATTAAATTACAGCACAGAGTAGGACTGGAAATGTCACACTGCCATTTTAAGTGAACATCTTTCTACCCAATTTCTTCTGAAGTTTACCCCAAGAACATTTAATAGAAAAAAGACGATTACTCTGTTTATAGGATGGGAGAGCAATGTCTATGAAAGGTACTCTACGAACTGTTCTCGAGAGGGACACAGCTGAATGATTTAAGGGTTTTCTTGAATTAAGCTAGTATTTTAATTGTAGAATCCACCCCCAACAAGATTAAATCTGGCAAGTCAGGAAAATGCCAATTACATTAAGATGTCTGGTCACAATGATTTCCAAATTGCGTCAGTGATAAAAAGCAGCCTTCTTTTTCGTTAAAAACTCAAAGCTAAAACACATGAAATGTAAGATCTGTGATGAATACTAATTTTTCATAACAAAGCAATAGGAAACAAGAGGCTTTTGCCACACTTCTTCAACACTTTTTGCATTGCTCAAATAGAAGATAATACTGAGTAACATGTTCTACAGAAATACTCCAGACAACAATAGCATAAGCTGTTAACTTCATTGTTGTAATGAAGGCAGCATTTTGTAGTCATTTTAATTAACAATACTATGAATATATTACGGAAATTTTTAGAAGCACTTACGAGGTGCAGAAGCACAAGTCCCAGTGAACCTAAAGGGACTTGTTTTACAGACTGGGGTTTTTTTCCACCTCCAAGTCCCTCCCATACACCTCTAACATTTTAAGATTCAGTTCTTTTAAACCTCACTCATGTAAAGCAGAGATTGAAATTCTGCAATATAAAAAAAGGTATGGGCTCTGCTCTCCAGTAATTAGGATGCTTTGCACGATTATATTTTAAAGGACTTTTATGAGTTGATAGATGTAAACGTTCTAAGCAATAGTATTGCTAACAATCTTTTATATCACAAATGTGCATGGGCTTTGAGCAATTTACTAGAACGCCAGAGAAAGACAGATAAGAAAAATAGAAAAGACAATAAAGGCTGTAATTTTAAAACAATATGCCTCTATGGTTTATGTAAAGAACAGGTATTGTTACTAATTAAGAAAATGCGCTTCAGTGTGCATTTTGTCTTCAGATCACATTTGGATTACTCTTTGCTATGACACTTCTAAACAAAAAAACCCAAAAATTATTAGTATTGAATGGACCTGACATAAAGAACAACTAAGTATTCCACTGCATTGCTGATCCATATCCACAAATAAACTATGTACTTGGAAGTGTTTTATGATAAACTGAAAAGCAGTGTTTTCATCTCAAAGTATTATGCTTTCAAATATTTTTCAGAGAAAGGTTTTCAGAAATACCTGCTTGACAAACAGTACATAATACCTACAAATACATAAGTACTAGGGCCTTGTTTGAAATGTTAAGCAAGAAATAAGACATGCAAAGACATTTCTTCATAGTTGGATAAAATATGGAGCTATATGCTACACGCAGTTGAACACAGCTATAAAGACCTATAATAAACCTGTATGTTCACTTAGTGCAAAAATCTTTAATTGTTGAATGTCATTTTAATAGCTTGTGTATATTCCCACGTTAAAAACAACTTATTATTGCACTTAGAATGTATTCTTTAAAGCTGTCTTGGTTTTAAGAATAATAAAAGAACCTAACAAGTACAACAGAACAATTTGAAATTTAGTCTAATTCACAATACTGCTCCAAAGTATTACTGTCAATACAGTTTTAAAACTATCAGCTATTCTCAGGTTTAGTTGAAAAAAAAAATATATATATACACATATACATTAATAGTATTGCCTTCACCAAATTAAAAAAAAAATCTATGATTCAGCAGATTTACTTCTGAATGTGTTTCCACATACAGCTTAGTTTGAACATATTCAAAACCTGTGCCCGTCAAAAATTTCATCCTTAATATTCTTTGGGCTACTGTGAAAATGTGAATCAATGCAAAAACAGGTGAATGTTTACATAAACTGAGCAGGCTGGGGTATTTACAGAAAACAAAACAGATGTTTAATAATTTAGCTTTCTAGTGATTTCATCAAGAGTTAAGGGAATCAAAAAGATGCATATTCCTGTTCATGATATAGAATTGTAAGAGACTGTAAAACAGCGTGAGAAACTTCAAAAAAACGTATCAGTCATAAGAGCTACTATGTTTTCCAGTATAAACACCCACAGGTGTGCCTGCATTGGATGGGCCATAAAAGTTATTGAAGAATCCTGGGTCAGTAAACCAAAAACAGCTTTCACACTTCCAGAAACAGGTTATAACAAATTAGAAAAATATTCTCTTCACACACAGAATCACTACGCACGTACACACTAATGCTACGAAACTTCAAATACCTTGAGTTTGATTTCAAGCCACACTTTCAACGACTCATCCAAAAAAGTTCAATGGTATAAAAGATTCTTAAAGCAGTTTTGAAATTTGAACAATAGTCCAAAACTTCTTTAGTATCATATGGTATCTTCAGCCAAAAAGTACAAATCTAGCTTCAGCAGAAGGTCGGGCAGGTACACGAAAAGCAAGCATCAAAAACCAGATTCCATTTCTTTGACTGTTTTTTCTACAGTGTCCGACACCAAAGTGCTTTCGTTTTCCAGCATTTTCTCAGTAGTTTCTCCATCAACAGGCTTTGCTCTTCCTTTTAACTTCTGCCGTTCATGGACCCAGGGGATGAAACATAATACAGCACCGCCAATAATGGGAGGGACTCCAGCCAGGTAGAATGCTACATCATAGGTGCCAAGTTGATCGCGCAGCAAACCTGGAAAGAGAGAAAGTTGCCACTGATAAATAATGGGGCCTCAGAATCTACGTAAAACGTGTCTTTTCTTTGGATTCAGAAACTTGAGAGCTAGCACAGATTACTATAACCACTAATCTGACTACCTGAGGGCCAAATATAGGTATACTTAGGTAGAAAGGTATTCCAGAGTTGATTTAAAGACTCCAAGTAACTAAGAACTCTGTCACCACTCAACCGCTTAATTACCACCCATCATTAAAAACTATGTACCGTGTTTCCTATTTGAAAGTTACTAATTTCAGCTTCTCCAGCACTTGAATCTTGCAACGACTTGGAGAAATTCTCCCTCTTCTGGTAACAGTTGCCTTTGGTCAACGTGCCTCTTAACCTTATTCTAGGTAGACTGCATATATTGCATTCCTGGTAGCTTCTTACTAAAAAGTGTATTTTCCAAAAATTCACTGTAATTGCTCTCTCAAAACTCCTCCCATTAATCAAATTCTATTTAAGTATTAATAGCTGTGATAGTGTATGCAGATCAGGAATTGTCTACTCTATGCTGTTCTAGGTTTAAAATTTTGTTCTTTATAATGCTGCGTAGTTAAGTCTTACTAAGTATCTTTCAGTAGCATTCAAGTCCTTAGGGTAAATTATGATTGAAAATCATCAATGGTCAGGATTATAGCTTAAACTATTTCCATCTCCCAAAGAACTTACAGTTTTCATCTTCAAAACCTGTACTTTATTAAACAGTCTCCCATCAAAGAATGAAAAAAGCCAGTGTTCCTGCTTATAAGCAGCAATTAAAGTGACTGGAGCTTATATCCTCACAATTGTTTTTGTATGAGCAAATTTTGGAGTCCAATTCATTTTCAGATTCTAACTTGGAGTCCTTCTGTAACACAATCAACATAGAGGCTGTCACTTCAAATCCAGCTGGAACCCTATCTTTCTTTTGAGGAATGTTTTACATCTGCATAACTTAATAAAAAAGATTGAAGCAAACTTTAAGGAGTACTGTAAATTAATAACCCATGAGCAGTAGTTAAATTCACCATATATTCTGGAGCGCTTAGAGAGAAAGCTTCCAATGTAAATGCACTGCATATGATGTAGGAAAAGAAAATACGGAACAAAAAAGTCATGCAACCACAGAAACGTATTTCTGTTTCAACAGCATCCTGGCCTGTATCAGAAATAGTGTGGCCAGCAGGAGTAGGGAAGTGATTGTGCCCCTGTACTCAGCACTGGTGAGGCCGCACCTTGAATACTGTGTTCAGTTTTGGGCCCCTCACTACAAGAAGGACGTTGAGGTGCTGGAGCGTGTCCAAAGAAGGGCAGTGAAGCTGGTGAAGGGTCTGGAGCACAAGTCTTATGGGGAGCGGCTGAGGGAACTGGGCTTGTTCAGTCTGGAGAAGAGGCGGCTGAGAGGAGACCTTATCGCTCTCTACAACTACCTGAAAAGGGATGTGGCAAGGTGGGTGTTGGTCTCCCAACTAACTAGTGATAGGATGAGAGAAAATGGCCTCAAGTTGTGCCAGGGGAGGTTTAGATTGGATATTAGGAAAAGTTTCTTCACTGAGAGAGCGGTCAAGCATTGGAACAGGCTGCCCAGGGAGGTGGTGGAGTCACCATCTCTGCAAGTGTTCAAAAAACATGTGGATGTGGTGCTTTGGGACATGGTTTAGGGGGCATGGTGGTGTTCAGTTAACAGTTGGACTTGATGATCCTGAAGGTCCTTGCCAACCTTAATGATTCTGTGATTTACAGCTACAGACAATACCTACACTTACCCGCAATGGGTGGACCAACTGTCATAGGTATTGACATGAGTCCTAGTAGAAATCCGATGGCCTGGGAGACATCCTGAGCTCCAACAAGCTCAAAGGCAATAGGAGCCATAATGCAAATGAAGCACCCATCAAACAGGCCCATGAAGAGACAGACAGCAATGAGGCCTCCAAAGGCATGGCACAATGGAATCATCATAGACATCAGGCCAATAAAGAAGAATGAGGCCACCTAAACATCACCAAGGAAAAGAAATATAAGAACATACTGCATCAAATCAGCAAAGATAAAGGGAACAGATGAGCTTTCTTGCATTTGTAATGAATTGAATTGTCTGCCTGTATTTACTTTAAAATAAATATAAGCAGTCTCTATGGATTACCACCATCAGAAGTTGCATACCAAGACAAAAAACACACATATAACTGTCATGACATGCGATCAAAGAAATTCTACTACCCATTTCACAAGTTTTCAAAATGCATTTGTAATCAACTATCCTGTAGTGATTAAGTTCATTTCTCATGCACCAACAGTTTTTGAAAATTTATTCGCTCTGCTCTTTTCACAAATGAAAGCCACAAAAATATCAAAAGTTTAATGTAACTAAAATACTATAGTTAGACTTCTCACTGTTGTAATTTAAGCAAAAATATCAGTATTGTGTGTGATTACTTCAGGGTGCTTATATTCAGAGGCGGTATTTGAAAGTCTCATTCCAGTTTTTCCACGTAAAGGTATCTTGCTCTATTCCTGTAGCCATCCATACTTGCAAAGATTTTACATCATAATCTTAGATTAAGATTATTGTTTCTTTGTTGTATATTAAAGGAATAAAACTTAATCTTTTGGCAAAATGAAGCATTTGAAGAAAAAATAAAATAAAGAAGGTATGAGTTTTGCTTGTGCACCATCCATATGTCACCACAGGAAACCAATGTCCCACCTAACTGCACAAACACATTTTCCAAACAAGATATTTGTGCATTTGTCACTTGTAGATCATTAAAGAAAACCAAGGTCACTTAAAAACTACTAGACAGCACAATTTTTTGATGGAGAAGTAACATCAAATAAATTACTTCATTAGGAAAAATCTTGAAGCAGATAGCTAGATGGAACTTAATTTTCAGGACAGCATAACAATTCTTTTAGTACTTTCTTTAGCATACTAAAGAAAAACTGTCATGAAGAAATTCTCAGTTCTGTGTATCCTGATACAGAAAATACAATGTTATTTGAGATGAGTGTATACCTAAGTAGTACTGTGGTTATCTGTAGACAAAAAGTCTAAACAAGATATTGTTGACAAGATTCTTCGTATTATCATATTATGACACAAGCAGCAACTAAAACCAGAATCACTAAACTTTCTATCCAGAAGAGACAGAATGCATCCTTCTGTTACTAAAAATAGAATTTAATAAAGAAAAATCCAGCAAAACAAGTCCATAAGAAGGAATGCAGAAACAAAGATGAATGTTGAACTTGCTGGGTAGAACTGTTGTAAGTTGTTCAATTATGAGACAGTAAAGTTCTAAAAGGAAAAAGGTTTCATTTGCATTAGTCAAATTTAATTCTTAAATAATTTTTGCATGAGATAGGATAATAGTATGAACTGTTGGACAATCCAGAATAATATTTGAGGTGAATATTTGCTTTCCCTCAAAAACGCCAATTTGAAACAGGAGAGCTAAAGATACTGGGGCATGGCTTAGAAAAGTTAACACGTTTTTCCTGCTTAAAACTAGGGGAAGCCAACAGCACTCAAGCATCCTAGTTCATGCCCTAAACAAAAATCCATGGTTTTCAGTTCTAGCTATTCAAGGAAAAGAACAAAAAACGTTGTAGTTTTACTGCAAGTTTGGTATTGTGCTTTGTAAATCATGTGTAACATCTCAAGGCTGCCTTTTAATTTTTTATCTTAATAGTGACATTTCCTGAAAGTGTAACAATAGGTATTGTATCAATGCAAATGAATGGCATACAATCCCAGTCTCTATCATCAGGGAATCTGAATTTATGTAACTATGGCAACAAATACTCCATCTCCAGAAAGGTGATTCTTTCCTAAAAAGTTTTGTTTCAATACTGTAGTACAGATAATAGCCGTTAGATGTCTCCCTTGCTATTCATGTTAAAACTTCATCCCCAAGCTTCAGCATTTCTGGAAGCTGTGACTTTCTGCAAGTAACCTACTTCATTCAGCAGAATCTCCTCAACTAAGCATGTCTTATTGGCTTTACCAGTATGCACTATGCACAGAACACACCTGACACCAAATTATCACCTATCAAAGATCAAAAAGAGAGATCCAAAATCCTTAGCGAAGGAACACTGGAAAAAAAAATTAATCTTTCTGCAACCGCTATGAAGTCATGGGATAAAACAGGGAAAGCAGAATCTAGAGAATCCCCAAAGGTTTTCTCACTCACAAGCTAATGATTAGTAATTTCTTTCATTCCCAGTTGAAAACAGCCAGCAGGTAGTAGACATGTTTCCTTAGCATTAAAAAGATAACAAAAAAATAAAAATCAGAGATTCGTGAACTTTGCACCAAAGGCTCCTAGTATCAAAAACTATACATTGGATTTCCTAGAGTTCTTTAATTTCTCGAATTTGAATCTCCAATCAGTTAATTCTGCTTGCTTAATAGCACCTGCAACAAAAGCCTTCACAATATTGTTTGTATATTCCTTAAGAACAGTGTGAAGACATACCTGTAGATAAATTTTTTTTGCACCAGGAATATAATCTGCAACTCTGCCAAAGATCAATCTGCCAACTCCTGAAGTAATGCCCAGACACAGCAGAAGCACTTCTTCTGGCACGCTGTCACCAAATCTGTCTTTTACATGCTTCATCTGTTTAAAAAGTGTTGAGAAAATAAATTTGCTTTAGAATTAAAAGGAAGATAAACTTTAGAAAACTTGAGTTAAATAGAAGTAATCTGTGAATCTCAGACTTACAAATACGGCTACAACTAACTTACAAATAGGGTGAACTACCTTACTCTGCTTTTATAGGTTTCAGAATAAGTTTTGCACTGGCTTATCAGTATTAAGTACAATTCAATAAAAACAATCTGAAAACATGTTGATTTATTCACAATTAAAGAACTTAACTCAAGCAAAAAACAAGGCTGCATGTAATACCAAGAAAATAGAAGAGAACCCAGAAGTCTTCTCCGCAGCCACACTTAATTTATTCGTCATAGATTTAACATAACACAGAATGCACAAAGGACGTCTAGAACTGGTTGCTTCACTGGCCAGGGCACACTCTCAGGTCTGTAGGTACTGAATGATTAATGAGTATCACCTACATACTACCAAACTTTTAAGATAGCTCTGGGCAGGAGCAAGAAGCAGAGGGGCAGAGAGCTGGAGACCAGACAGTCCAAGTAGGAGAGGTCCCTCCAGACTGCCTCATCCTGACATCCAGGATCACCATGACATCCAGTGGCAGGGAGGAAGAGGAGCAGGAACCACCTGCAGTGTCAAATACAACAGCAAGCACTTCCAGGAGAGGGTGCAGCTGCAGCAGCAACGAATAGGGCAGAATGGAAGAATGATTTGTCAGCCACTTCAACCTAAAGAGCTAAAGCAACTGACCAACAGTCCTGACAGTAGACCATCAACTACAATGTGATGAACTACCAGTGTTAGTAATTCTAACCTTTCAAGACATATTAAAAAAAAAAAAGTCATAAGACTGGCTTGACCAACTTGATGGGTTTGGAGTTTTTATATTCTTTCTGGTTCCACAGTGGTTTTTGTTTGTTTGTGGGTTGTTGGTTTTGTTTTGCTTTTTGTTTGTTTCATTTTAAATCAACCATGAAGACCAGAAATTACCCATATGAAAGATTTTTTGCACACTTTAAAACACACTTGCCAGTACCAAATATGCCAAAGTGAGCATTAGAAGATGTAGAAATCATTTGCACAGTCCTGCGACCTCTGTGCTCATAACTAGTTCCTAACAAGATGTACAGACTTAGAGGTGTTGAGAAGCAAATAGAACAAACTGATTTTAAGTAAAGATGTAGTAAAACCATTTGAAAGACAAGGTGACCACAGGCTGACAGACCTGGATAGCAGAAGTTGCACACCTATTTCTGCTCTTAATTCTGATTGTGTGAGAGCACTTCAAACTAGAGAACCCCTATTTTCCTATCTAGAATGGAAAAGTTCAGTTTTAGTAAAATACTTCTACAGCAAAATAGTCAAGATTCTTTCCTGTCCAGAGTGTTAGTACACAAGCAGAGCCTTTTTCCTGCCCACATAAATGGGATTTTCTGAGTGATGGCAATTTTCTTAAGTATAAAATCAGTTGGGTTTTGTTTACATGTCACAGAAAGTCTATTAAGTCTAGTATTAATTTGTCCAATATAATTGATTTTGTCAGAAAGGAAATAAAAAAATAAGGGTTAGTACTTTTGTTTTTGAATAATAACTTCTAACCTCAATTAAAGACAGATGCTTGCTCTTTCCATTTTCAAGGTTTTTTTTTTTCTTTGCTTTTTAAGACACATTTGGGAATAGAATCTGATGAAATTTTTCTTCTGGAATGATATGTACACATAAAAGATAAGTTGTTCTATTTATTCCCTTTCTGTCAAACGTGAGAAGAGGAAAAGCTGACTGTTTTCCCACCCCTACCTTTACATGCCTGTCAGCAACTGCTGGCCCAGACAGTGAGAGAAGCCAAGGTATTTTCTGCCATTCTCGTCACCTGTTCAACTTCCATGTTTCTGCAGCCTCTAGCTTGTTTAATTAGGAGACCTGATTCATCCACGCCCTGGAGGCTTTTCAAGAGGTAAGATAAAGCTCTGCATCTAGATAACTATTAACCTTGCATCTGCAGCTGAGTAACTGAATTTCTCAAAGCAGCACGCTGAGGGTGAAATGCTGTCCTCTTAGATCAATGGGGGAAAATACCAATTCAATCAACTCCTTAAAGGAGGAAAATAACTGCTATGGATCTCAATCTTCAGATATCTAAATGAGTATTTTTATTTCTTTTTTTTTTTTTAGCTTTCACACCTCTTAAGCACAACATAACCTTAAAGAGTTTCCAACTAGATGGAAGGAGCGACTTTTTCCCCAGGAGGGAAATAGGCACAGGTTGCACAGAGAGCTTGTTCAGTCTCCTTGGTTGGAGGTTTTCCAGACCCAAGTGCACAAAGCCCTGAGCAACCTGGTCTGACCTCAGAGCTGGCCCTCTAATCCTTAACAGCATAATCAATCTTCAGTGATACAGTCACTAAGTAAGCTGTAACAACTGAATATCTGAAAATACAATGATTCAGGATTAATTCAGTAAGTGCCAAGTCATGGATTTAGACATTTCTTGTAACTATAGGCTAAATATTTTTATTTATGATGAAGAAGCTCAAATGAGATTCGGATTTCCACAGATTTTTAGCTGATAGAAATACTCAAAAATCCCATGATGGGCAATTACTTGTGAACCTTCTCAGGCAGCATCTCATGCATTAACACTCTTGTCATTGCAGAACTATACAGGCTATAATTATATGACTCTAGGCATTACCTACAGCAGTCAAGTGGGGAACCAGGCACACAGACACATCAAAGACCAAAGCACTTCCCTATGGGTTTTGTCTGTTCTCAGTAATGTAGCTAGCTCTTCACTCAGAGCTGGGTGCATGTCTGCTTTTTCCAAATGTAGAAAAGGCCTGTAATTTTGCCTGAGCCAACCAGTGCAAGATTTTCCAGACTAGTACAGCCTCTTTACTACTTTAAAATAAGTTATCTTTGTACAATCCAATTTTCCAAATCCAGGCATAGACAGTGGACACTTATACCTAATAATAGTAACTAATAATAGTAATGCATCCCTGGCACCAGCATTCTACTTTATACCTTGCTCTCTATCAGGGTAATGCATACAAACACAGATCTTCTTGTCCAAATTCTCATTACTGTTCAGATGAGACTAGAAGATTAACCACTTGGTAGTGGCTGGAATGCTTTCACATACACTGCTTTGGCTAACCTCTCTCCATCCAAACAAGACTCAGATTTTGCCAAGATCTTCCACTCAATGTACATACACTTCAGCTATATTCATGCACTGAATCAAAGAGAGCAATCTGTGCGTAGCTGGAGTTCCTTTTACCAAGCACAAAGAACCTGAATCTGAAAGAAGCAGTAATGAACTAGTAAGAAACAATTCTTCCTCTGTTGATTTCCTCCTGTGTCTATTCCATTTTAGGAATTCCCAATCAAGTAAAACTTTAGTAGGCTAAATGCAATGCAATCTCTTTCTCACTGAAAGAGATGGCCAACACCAATATATAACCTGGAAAAGTTAAATTTTAAACACAGACACCCAAAATAATTCTAGACTTGTATGATGTATGAGACTTAGCCATCAATCTAAGTATGGCAATACCTCCATAATTTATTGCTTTGATTATTACTACCATGGTCTTCAAAAACCCATTCAGTATTATTAGAAGACATGATGGCCTTGTCATTCCATCTCTCAAGATATTTTTTTCCCCCTCCAAGCTCTAAGTGCAAAAAGGCAAAAGACAAAAATTAACTAAGCACATGTCCAAGTAAGGGTATTAGCAACTGACAGGACACAACTGGAGTGAGTACATGTAGAAAAATTATACTGGTGCTCATCTTCAAGACTACAATTAGATCCTCAAAATTTCAGAAAACTAAAAGCTTAGGTTTATTTCACACACATTTCCTGAGAAAAGAACAGCCTTACTAACAATGTACAGATCTTTCTGTGCTGTTAGTGCCATGACACAGCAGCCTTCCTTCAATGAACAAATCAACCACATGCCTGAACAAACCAATTCTTTTGAAGGCCTAGAGAAAAGTGCTAACTGGTGCCCTGATAAAGTTATATTAAGAATTTTGCAGGGAACTGTCCTGGAAAATTGAAAGTTTCAGGATATGCTGAAAAACAGAGCATAAAGTAACTCTGGACAAATCACTGTTTATTCTCTAGCATAAGGACTCACCACAAAAGGGCAGGGAGAGTGGTGGGTGTAAATCAGAGAAAGAAGCTTCATTGCCAAAGAACTGTATGCTACTAGGCCCAGGGAAGATCATTTAATGCAAATACGTTTCTGGTCCAGACTCCACCAAAGAAGCTTTTACTGATGAGCTAAAAACTAGTAAACAAACCAGCAACTCCTGACTCCTGAACATTGACCAAAACTATGATCTTCATGTTAAGAGTGTTAAGAGACATGAAATAGCATTACTAATACCTAACGCAGATCCATTTTTAAAGAGCGTATCATCATCCTGAGATGGCTACAGTAACTTCTTTTTAGAAGTGTCTTCACATGACGAAAATATGCATTTATACATCTTCAAGATAATTCCTGTTTACATACTTGCCACAGCAGTGATAAAACCTCTTTCTCTATCTGGTCAATGTAATATACATAAAGAAGAAGGAGAGAATTAAAGAAACAAGGTGATCATTACATGGCAATTGGGAAATTTTCTATTATTCCACCAATTGAAGCAGATTAAACAGAATAATCCACACATCATAACGATACACAACAAGTATAAACTGAATTTCTTAAGTAAAACTGAACATAACCATTAACAGGTTAACTGTTAAGCATATTTAACATTAAAAAGATTAAGAATTCAGATTAATAAAAACTCAGGTTGACAATTACATAGTTAAAACAGTTTGGGTTTTCCCCCAAAAAATAGCTAGCCCTGAAGAAAATTGCCCTAAACAATAAAAAAATAAAAACTCAGCACTGTTAGTGCTATCTTTAAGAGCATGTGAAGGATGAGTATGATCCCAGAGATAAAAAAAGGCAGACAAGAGCATAAAGCTTAATTGAAGA